ACTTGTGTCATGGAGTTTTTTGGTACAGATTGTTTCATCACCTTGGTATTAAACCTAATATCCATTATCCATTATTTTTCCTGATTTTCTCCCTTCTCCAACCTTTCACCCTCTGAAAGGTCCCTGTGTGTGTTGTTCTGCTTGTGTGCCCATGTGTTCTCATCATTTAGCTTTCACTTATAAGTGAGAACATGCAGTATTTGGTTTTTTGTTTCTGTTAGTTTGCTAAGGGTAATGGCCTCCAGCTCCATCATGTTCCCACAAAGGAAATGATCTCCTTTTTTATGGCTGCTTAATATTCCATGGTATATAGATACCACATTTTCTTTATCCAGTCTATCACTGCTGGGTATTTAGGTGGATTCCGTGTCTTTGCTCTTGTGAATAGTGCTGCTATGAACGTATGTGTGTATGGGTCTTTATAATGCACTTTATGTGGTTTTTATTGCTTTGGGTGTATACCCAGTAATGGGATTGCTGAGTTGAATGGGATTTCTGTTTTTAACTCTTTGAGGAATCACTACACTGTCTTCCATAATGGTTGAACTAATTTATACTCCCACCAACAGTGTATAAGTGTTTCTGTTTCTCTACAACCTTGCTCTCATCTGTTATTTTTTGACTTTTTAATAACAACCATTCTGACTGGTGTGAGATGGTATCTCATTGTAGTTTTGATTTGCATTTCTCTAATGATCAGTGATGTTGAGCTTTTTTTCGTATGCTTGTTGGCCGTATGTATGTCTTCTTTTGGAAAGTGTCTGTTCATGTAATTTGTCTAGTTTTTAATGGGGTTGTTTTTCTTCTTGTGAATTTGATTAAGTTCCCTTTATATGCTGAATATTAGACCTTTGTCAAATGCATAGTTTGCAAAAATCTTCTCCCATTCTGTAGTTTATCTTTTCACCCTATTGATAGTTTCCTTTGCTGTGCAGATGCTTTTTAGTTTAATTATATCCCGTTTGTCAATTTTTGCTTTTGTTGCAATTGTACTCCAAAAGCACAGGCAACAAAAGCAAAAATATATGCACGGGATTTTATCAAACAGGCTTCTGCAAAGGAAAAGAAGAAAGAACAGAGTAAAGAGACAACCTACAGAATGTGGGAAATTATTTTGCATACCATATCTCTGATAAGTTGTCAATATCCCAATATTGACATTATATAAGGATATATAATATCCTTATATATATATCCCAATATATAAGGAACTTAAACAGCTAAATAGCAAGAAAACAATTAACTGGATTAAAACTGGGCAAAGGACCTGAATAGATGTTTCTCAGCAGAAGACATATGGATGGCCAACAGTTATATGAAAAACACCCCACATCACAGCTCATTAGGAAAGTGCAAGTGAAATCCTCACTTCTTATCCCTGTTAGAATGGCTATTATCAAAAAGACAACAAGTGTTGGTTAGGATGTAGAGAAATGGGAACCTTTGTACAATGTTGGTGGGAATGTAAATTAGTACAGCCATTATGGGTAACAGTACGAAGATTCCTGAACAAAATTAAAAATAGGTTTACCTTTTGATCCAGAAATCCCCATCTGGGTATGTCCAAAGGATGTAGGAGAAATGAAATCCGTATGTCAAAGAGATATCTGCACTTACATGTGCAGTCAGCATTATTCACAATAAGTACAATATGAAATAAATCTGAAGTATCCATCAATCAAGGAATGGATAAGGAAAATATGGTATGTGTACACAGTCCAATACTGTTCAACCTTATAAAAGAAGGAAATCCTGACATTTGCTACTCCATGAATGAAACTGGTGGACATTATGTTAAGTGAATTGAGCCAGGAACAGAAATACAGATACCACATGATCTCACTTATATGTGGGATCTAAAAACATCAAACTTCTAAAAGCAGAGAGTAGGATGCCAGTTACCAGGGGCTGCAGGATTGGGAGATGTTATTTTTTTTCAAATGTCTTTAGTATTGGATTTAATAAAAGACAGCTGCATTCTTTTATTTGCTTCTGCATTCAATCTCTTGCACTATGTTGTTTTGGTTGAAGAATATGATGAAAATTTCGGCTTCCCCCAGATAATGTGGTTGCAAAGGGGGCAAGCAGTATTTTAATAACCTTTCTAGATAGTTAAGGGGACGTTCTTCTTTGACTCTTTATCAAAACCTGACAAACAGTAGTTTAGTTTCAGTGTGGAACCTAAAATCATATCAGTGAATTTTTTGTACTCTATTAAGCTGAAAGTTCATTGATGTGTCTTGCATTTTAAGTGGCTTTTTAATCCATGCATGATTTTTGTTACTATGCGTTAGCAAACAAAGATGTGAGTTATCCAGATCTTTTAGATGTTGATGCATCTGTTTATATGATATAAAAAATTACATTCATTATTATTATCACTTCCACTAGAGACAGATTTAAGCATTTGGAATCTGTTGAGCTTACAGTAATGGATACAAATTTTCCAGAAATTTTAATTGTGACTTATAAGGTTGATTTTTATCATTGTTGACAAATAACTCTAGTTGTTTTTTAAAAAATTGACAGGTTTTTTTTGTTTATTTTCAAGAGAATTCCTGCCAGCCACCCAAGTCTGAATGACCGTAGTTTGTCTGCTAATAATTTTTTTCATGGAAAAAGTGGCATTCCATGAAAATGGCAGGCAATTCAATCCGCAGTTCAATTAATTGCACAAGGGCTTTTCTAAAGACTACTCTTGAACTTCAGTGTGTACAGAAATACTTTATGCATACATTCCTTTTTTTCCACAGATTTAATAAAATTGATGCTTCCCCCCCATCAAAGGCATTACTAAGAGAAACTGCCTTTTTGTTACCTCTGTAAGTATGAGGTAGTCAATATAATGATTCCTTTGGTACCACTTGATTCATGCTGAGGCACCAACAATTTTACTCTCTACTGCTTTTGTATCACTGTTACAAATCTCAACTGGGTAACATAGTCAAATAACGTGCGTTATTATGAAAGTAGTTTTGACTATACAGATGCCATGCAACAGGATTGTGCATCCCCTGGAGTTCACAGATCATGTTTTGAGAACGGCGGTTATCTTTCAATTCTAGTTGACTCCTTGAACATCACTGGTTTGAATTGTTTGGGTCTACTTACATGCAATTTTTTTTCAATAAGTACATTAGAACATTTCTCATAGACTTGGAACAATTTGAAAAAACTCACAAATGAATCATATAGCCTAGAAATATTTAAAAAATAAAGAAAAAAGTAGGTCATGAATGCATAAAATATATGCAGATATAAGACTGTTTTATCGTTTACTACTATAAACATAAATCTATTATAAAAAGTTAAAATTTATCACAACATATGCACACAAACACGGATGTAACCAAATATAAAGGTGCAGTATTAAATCATAAATGCATAAAATTAGCTGTAGTATATCCTGTGCTATAATAATTTTTTAGCCATCTCCTTTTGCTATTATGGTGAGGCCAAGTGCTGCGAGAAACAGTTTACATTTAGAGTCAGATTACTTTATTGCAAATATAGGCAAAGATTCTTATCTTTTGTTTTGTTTTCAAATACTCTACCCATGGGTGAATACCAAGTGTTTTCCATTGTAAAAATAATAAGAACAACAACCATGATAACATGATTATTATAATAATGCCACCCTTTGTGCTACAGTTGGCATTTGACATATTTTGAGTTATTTTCAGCCTCATTCAGTCCTTCCCATTTTGCCATCAGTGCAAATCTAATTTGACTTTTTCTGAAACAGGTAAGTCAACATGGCAAGGGCTGGAACACACTCACTCACCAGTGCTTTGTAGTTAAGCACATTGCTCTACAGTATTCATTTATCGGACTATGAAAGCTACTCATGCAGATGTTTAGAATGTGTCACAGCCCTAGACACTGGGTGCAGCTTTTATTCTGGCCACTTGCTCTGATGTACTGCCCTCTGCTATAGGCATGAAGAGTTTTTTGCTAACATGTTGTGTCTTTCTGTATTTTTCTGGTGCTCTGTAAGATTTTATAAAGTGCTGTTCTTGTGGAGTAAAGAAATATACATTTTAGGCCAGGCTCGGTGGCTCATGCCTGTAATCCCAGCACTTTGGCAGGCTGAGGTGGGTGGATCACCTGAGGTCAGGAGTTCTAGATCAGCCTGGCCAACGTGGTGAAACTCCATCTCTACTAAAAATACAAAAACAATTAGCCAGGTGTGGTGGTGGGCGCCTGTAATCCTAACTACTCGGAAGGCTGAAGCAGTAGAGTGGCTTGAACCCCGGAGGCAGCGGTTGCAGTGAGCTGAGATGGCACCATTATACTCCAGCCTAGGCATGAAGAGCAAAGCTCCATCTTAAAAAAAAGAAAGAAAGAAAGAAAAAGAAAAAAGAAATATACATTTAAAAGACTTGACCCTCTAGGGGTATTTTATGGAACAAATGAGAAGATCTGACTAGGGATTTTCTTTTATATCCGTGTAATGCCAGTATATTGCTTGGCACTTTATAGCTGCTCTGTAAAAATGTTAATTGTAATAAATTCTTGAACCCAGGAGTTAATTCAGTGAAGTTCAATTAAACTTTTATTGAGCCGTGTACTATGTTAGATGAAGAAAGTAAAAATTGGCAAAGTAGTTTCTGGATTGTGAATTACTCTGATAACTAGAAGATAATCTCATACACACAAACCTATTTTAGTATTGGAGCTTTTACTGTAGCAGTAGAGACACGGAAGGAGTAATGTGGGAAGGAGGGAACAGTGTAATTATTTTTGGTAGGGATGGGGAGGGTCACAAAACGAGGGTGGTTGTCTGGCCATGAGATCTGATCTAGGCTTTGAGGCTTGAGGAGGATTATAAGGCAACTTCCCTTATTCTGGCTCTCTCAGGATGTATTTGAAAGACAAAATAGGTTTGGTTTCTGGCCTTAATATCACAGATTCTGTGGAATGTTTGCTTCTTTTGTACTCAGGGTGATTGTTTTCCCTGGTTCCCATGCTCACGATATTTTCCTGCCTTCTCCCTTAAGAATTGCCTGAGGTTCTGTCCATTGAGGAGGAAGTGGAAGAAACAGAGTCTTGGGCGAAACCTCTCATCCACCTTTGGCAGACGAAGTCCCCTAACTTCGCAGCTGAACAAGAGTATAATGCAACAGTGGCCAGGATGAAGCCACACTGTGCCATCTGCACTCTGCTCATGCCATACCATAAGGTAAAGGGGGGCTGCTGTCACAGTTGCCTTTGCTCTGCTTTCTGTGTGACCACATACCACAAGATCACTGTAAATTGTTGTGGGCTTCCTTTGCACATAAGAAGGAAGACATCCTTAGGTAGCTGATGGCTTTCATAGAACCACAAACACTTTCTACTTTCTACATTCTCCTTGGGAGACACTTTTCTGAAAATACTTTATCTTTTTCTTTTGAGATAGGGTCGTGCTCTGTTGCCCAGGCTGAAGTGCAGTGGCATAATCATGACTCCACATAGGCTTGTACTCTGGCTCAAGCGATCCTTCTGCCTCAGCTTCCACAGTAGCTAGGACTATAGGTGTGAGCCACCATAGGTGCCTAATGTTTTAAATTTATTTTTTAATTTTTCTGGCGACTTGGTCTTACTGTTTTGCCTAGGCTAGTCTTGAGCTCCTGGCCTCAAGCGATCCTTCCTTTGGTCTCCCAAATCTTTTCTGAGTGTCTTATTTTATTTCATGGGAGGGGGGTTACTTTCAACTTTTCTACCTCTTTTACCAAGAAACACAACTTAAAGCTTACAAATAGTAGAAGCTTTCAAAGATAGAACTTTAAGTGTATCTCTGTTTTTTTTGGTTGTTGTTTGAAAATGTCATTCTCAAATAATAGAAATGTCAGCCCTAGGTCCAAATTTTAAGTGTCTCTTCACCTTCCCATGTGGAACATGCAAAAGACACAGCCAAGACTCACTACAAACTAAATTTTCCAGTTCATCCTCATCAGCTGGCTGTGCTTGATGTTGTTTTCAGCATCATTCCATAGATATTATACTGATAGCACCTCAGCTAATGGAGGGTCACAGTCCTCAGCACTCAAACAGTTGAAATGATCTTTAGGAATCTTGTAAGGGTGGAACTATGTGGTTCATTTTAAGGTACAATATATTATGAAGTATATTGACATGAACATTATGTTTTGGGTTATATTTTTATTTATAGAAACAAATATTTTATTCAAGATTATGTCTGTCTTAGAGTTCCTTATAAAAATAAACTGTTCTGTTCAGACATTTCAGAACAAGAAAATGTGTGGTATCTCACATTTTCAGACCTTTGTAACAGAGGAAATAATTTATTCCCTTCATGTTTTTTAATGTGGCACTGGTGAGTGATAAACATTATTTTTCTCTTCCTTTAGTCATTAAATTTCTGGGTTTTAACTACTTATTGATTCTTATTTCTACATTATAATCTGTATATGTCTCAATAATGAAAAAATTCAAACTAAAATCGTAAGATTTGTGGAGATTTAATATAAAATAATACAGTATAAAACATAAAATAATATAAAATCTGTGAGGTAATTCATTACTTATACTTTCAAGTAAATACTAAATGTACTAAATTTTTTTTCTATCTTTTGGTGTGAGGTAATAGTTTTGTTTGATACATTATTCTTTCTTATTTAGTGACATGTGCCAGTTCTCTCTCTCTTGCTTTCAAATACTGTGATGAGGCAAAAATTCTTAAAGCCTCTCCTAATACTGCTGCACAGATTAAAACTGGGTCTTTGTACACTCCTTCAAGTGTAGCAAAATATGATTCTTCAGTAAATGAAAACAGATCTCTTAACCCTAGTGCATATGAAGAAGCAAAAGAATTGATGCTTTCCATGAACTAATTTTGGGAAGACACAATTTGAGTAGCTAGTCACTTTCTTATATGAACAGACATGATAGAATATTGTCCTGTTCCTGCAGATTAGCTTTTGGGTGGGAGTCTGAGGTGGAATGTTGATTTAAAAAAAAAAAAAAACCAAAAAACTAGTAGTTTGATCAAGGAGAACAACAGGAAGAACAAAAGTTAGAAGTTAGTGTCTGGAACAGGAGTTAGTGGATTTGAATGACTAGAATGATGAGCTCTTTTCCATGTTTTTCACTCATGTGGAAACGTTGTGTTTTTCAGCCAGATAGCAGCAATGAAGAAAATGATGCTAGATGGGAGACAAAATTAGATGAAGTCATTACGTTGGAAGGAAAGACTAAGCCCCTTATACCAGAGATGTGTTTTATTTATAGTGAAGAAAATATAGAATATTCTCCACCCAATGCCTTCCTTGAAGAGGATGGAACAAGTCTTCTGATTTCCTGTGCAAAGTGCTGCGTACGGGTTCATGCAAGTAAATGGATCTATAATTCATCAATCACTGGCTTTTCAGCATTTCACATCATCTTTATTTCTCACGTTTTTGGAACCTATCAGATCTGTTGCATGGACTATTGGCATTCTTCATGGTTATATCATTCTTTTTCACATTTCTTCTAGTAAAAGTATGAGTTAGTATATTCATCTTTTTTTCACCACTTTCATGTAGTATCAGTGGAGAGCAGGTCTGGGTTTTTTTTTTTTGTTGGTTTGTTTGTTTGGGGTCCAGGTGAGGAGTTATCATGGGGTTCCTTTCACATACTTGAATTTTACTTACTTTAAGATCTAGTTTATAAAAACTTAATTTGAAAGTCTGATATTGTTGAAGACTGTTTTTCTTTGTGACTTTTAAAAGAGAAATGGATGTTCCTTTGGTTATTCTCAGAATTGTTGTATTGAGTTAACTTTTTTTCATTCGTAAGGGTGGAAATCTCTATTGCTTTCCAGGGGAGAACAGTCATTACAGTTGTTTTACCCCTGGACTGAGATAGTCTCCACACCTATCTCAATTTATTATTTTTAACAGTTGGATAAGTGGTAAACATTTATTGATCTGCCATGTAAATCCTATGAAATATGTAAAAGGGATCTCATATACTACAACTGTATTTTAAGGCATTTTAATATTCCAGATCTTACCAAATCACATATTCTAGTAACTCACTTAGGTATGGCCTGTCCTCTGTCAATGTAGTTTGAATGGTTTATAATATAGATATTATCTTCTGTATTTACCTCAGAGTAATAATTGCTTTATATTAGGGTTGAAACAACTTCGTCATTTATCATTTATTGATTGATTAGATACTATCTACTTAAAGGATTTAAATAGTATCTGCTTGAAATATAATAATAGCCATCTTGTTTTCGTATTGAAGGCAATTTGGAACACACACACATGCATATACATACCTTACATTGTTATGTGTATACAATAGGTAAAGCACCAGGACACAAAATAATTGGGATATAATCTGATTCCTGAATGTAGCAGCTATGCAGTGTAACCATACTATTTTATACACATATGCTTTAACTCATTATTTCATGGACATGGTTAACTATGATAGATTTTTTTCTCGGGAAATTACATTTCTGTTATTTTATTTCCATCTCAAATGTTATAGAAATTTTCAAAAATTACTCATTAAATCTTAACCCTCCTGTAAGGAGGGGGTTTTAATATCAGAAATATTAAAAATTGCTCATTTAAATATTTAAAAATTCTCTTATCTCAAGAAGTCAGAGTGACATGTGTTCCTTGATGTCATGTAATTGCTATGTATATTTGCATAATCAGCCATCACCTTAGTTATTTTGGGTCAGGCATGAGCTGAATAGACAAATTGAATTGAAAATATTCCTTCATTGCTAACTCTGAATTTGCAACATTTGCCTTATCATTGAGGTTGAAGGTAGTTAGACTTAATTTTTGAAGTAATTTTAAATTACTTCAAAATTTAAATTAATTTAATAATATTAGGTCACAGTATATTTATTGTATTATTTTTAACATTTCCTTAAACTTTGCCCCATGGATTGCAACTTATTTTGAGATGTTTGTGCGTGAACAAATTAGTAGACTTGGCATTTTAAAATTTTATTACCCATTCAAGATGTTCCATAAGTATTTTCTATAACTATTGTGTTAGTTATCAATAAGACTCACATTCACCTTGCTTATGTTTTGTTCTATACAGTGAGAATCAAGACAGTATGGTAGGCTAGTGTTCCATTTTTATTTATTTCAGTACTGAGATCTGCAATATTTTAAAGGTGAAAAAGACCTAATGCATGGATACATACTATTATTTTATAGGTTGTTATGGTATTCCTTCTCATGAGATCTGTGATGGATGGCTGTGTGCCCGGTGCAAAAGAAATGCGTGGACAGCAGTAAGTGGCTTATTTTAGTATTGCTTAATCTTTCTTCCCACCCCACCCATGGTGGTCACATTTGAGTCTAATGAAAAGATAAGATTGTTCACGTGCTTATAGATGCAATTCCACACTTCCTTGTGTTTCTAGTCTTCCCTCTCAAAAGCATCTTACCTGGTGGTTCTATATCCATTGTAGAAATATTAGGTAAATTTCTTTTCTTTTCTTTTTTTTTTTGAGACTTAGTCTCACTCTTGTCACCCAGGCTGGAGCACAGTTGCGAGATGTTGACTCACTACAAGCTCCGCCTTCCAGGTTCACACCATTCTCCTGCCTCAGCCTCCCAAGTAGCTGAGACTACAGGCACCCGCCACCACACCTGGCTAATTTTTTGTATTTTTAGTAGAGATAGGGTTTCAATGTGTTAACCAGGATGTTTTTGATCTCCTGACCTCGTGATCTGCTTGCCTCGGCCTCCCAAAATGCTGGGATTACAGGAGGAAGCCACCACTCCTGGTCCTTTTTTTTTTTTTTTTGAGATGGAGTCTCGCTCTGTTGCCCAGGCTGGAGTGCAGTGGCGTGATATCAGCTCATTGCAACCTCCGCCTCCCAGGTTAAGCAATTCTCCTGCCTCAGCCTCCTGAGTATCTGGGACTACAGGCACCTGCCACCATGCCTTGCTAATTTTTGTATTTTTAATAGAGACAGAGTTTCACCTTGTTGGTCATGCTGGTCTTGAACTCCTGACCTCAGGTGATCCACCTGCCTCGGCCTCCCAAAATGCTAGGATTGCAGCCGTGAGCCACTGTGCCCAACTATTAGGTAAATTTCTGGTGTCAGTCCTCTACTTAGGAACTTGCAGGGACTGTCAGTTTATCGTGTCCACATTTACGTTTTCAAGGCTTCGGAATTTTGCTTCATTTTCTTGTCCGTCCCTATTTTGCAATTACTTGAAAAGTATTTCAAGTAACAAGGTAGGGGATCCTTAGTGACCCCTGAAGAAACCATGTTCATATCCAACATTTATTTTTCTTTTTTTGAGACAGGGTCTCACTCTGTCATCCAGACTGGAGTGCAGTGGTGCAATTATGGCTCACTGCAGTCTTGAACTCCTGGGCTCAAGTGATCTTCCCACCTCAGCCTCCTGGGTAGCTGGGACTACAGGCATGCGCCACCATGCCTGGCTAATTTTTTAATTCTTTTGTAGAGACAAGGTCTCACTATGTTGCCCAGGCTGTTCTCAAACTCCTGGGCTCAAGTGAGCCTCTCACTTTGGCCTCCTGAAGTGCTGGGGTTATAGGCATCAGCCACTGGGCCTGATGTCATATCCAACTTTTCAACTAGCATAAGGTCTTTCCCCACTTACTCATCCTTACATTTATACCTTAGTACATTCTAGAGTTTCTGGTCTGTACTAGGCATTGCTGTGAATTTTAGACAGAACATTTAATAACAAATGATCCCCCATTTAGAGACAAAGAATTGACTTGACCTAAATTGTTTTTCCTAAAGACCTTGTTAAAAATTTACCTTACTACTTTCCTGCAGATTTTTGGGGGCAGAAGAAAATAATAATAATAATAATAATATAAAAATTTAGCTTACTTCGAATCTTTGATTTTCATTCCAACAATCTATGTCAACTTTGTTACCGTTTAATTACGTTTTACCTTAATTTTTCTTAAAAATTGTCTTTCAAAAGGAATCAGAACATTCTTGAAAGTGAAGAACAATCAGACCTCAGCATGATCTCAGAGCAGGTGCTCAGCTTGATGATTTCAGCTGTAATAGCAGCATTTACTTTATTCCTCAATGATCTCTAATGACAGAGAATTACACTTCCTTGCAACTGAAGTTAAAAACCTGAATGACAATATAAAGAATACGCCTTACATGATGAAAATTTTTGTCATGACTGTGTATATTTAGTTCTCAGTAAGTCTGAGAGGGGTGTCTTTCTGGATGATTTTATTGCTGGCATTCACTTTGGGGAGTGAAAGAAGAGAGAAAAATATGGACACTCTTTATGGTCTGAATAATCTGGTATATTTTAATGTTAGAGGTTTTATCTCCCATTTAAGAAGTCACTGCATCAGTGGGCCCAGAAAACATTTTGGTCCATTTATGCATTGCTTAATGATAGGGATACATTCTGAGTAATGCATCGTTGGGCAGTTTTGTCATTGTGTGAACATAATACAGTGTACTGACACAAACGTGGACGGTATAGCCTGCTACACACCTAGGCTATACGATGTAGCCTATTGCTACTACTGTCCTGAGTAGTGTAGGCAATTGTAACACAGTGGTAAGTATTTGTGTACCTAAACATAGAAAAGGCACAAAAGAAAAACAGCCTTACAATCTTATGGGACTACTGTCATGTATGCAGTCCATCTTTGACCAAAATGTGTTTATGTGACACATGACCGTATTTTCCTTTCATGTGATTATTATGTTAATAAATGTAAGACATATTTAACACAGCCAGGAAGTCCTGCTTCTAATCTTGACTATATAAATATATCAAGCTCTTATTTATTATATAGGTCCTATTCCTAGTACATGAGCCACCATAAAGTATTTCAGAATCAGTTTGGCCAGTGATGTTCTCTCCTTTGCCCTGAATAATAAATTTAGAAATTAGAGATTATGTGATCAGCTCACCAAGGCATTAAGAGTTCTCTGTTCCATCCACAGTTACTGCCTGGCTCCTGTGCTCACACACTGAGCAGTCCTGTTGTCCAAGGTACCATTGTCCTTTGCATGGCAGACCCAGGGCCAGGTCTAGGCCACTCACCCTGATTCTAAAGCTGTTCTGATTGATTATGCTGTTTTCATGTAGCATGTTTCATACAGAAAATACTACGATTAATCACTCTTTGGAATAGATTTAAAGCATCTTTCTATTAATTTTAACTCCTTGTCCCCTCAAAAAATACAATCTTGCCATTTTTATTTTAATATTGAAACTATGTAAATCTCTATCAATTTACAGTTGAACTGGGAACTCTTGAATATAACATTACAATGATTTTTAGACCTACATAATTTATTTCTACCTGTAAATGATCTGAATTCACAGTGGATTCCAATTGTTTTTTCAGCGTATCCATTTGAGTGTACTTTTTCTATGAAGCTCCATTCCTATTTCTGTTGAAAAATAGTTGAATGAAGTTTAAGTATTGTAGAAGAGTAACTGACAGTATTGGTATTCTGACTTTAACCCTCTGATTTAGTGTGGCAGTGAGTGTTGCAATATTAATTTTTACTAAACACTTAAGTATGATTTCTTTAAATTTTATGGCTGCAATGATTGCATTTTAAAAGTATCCTTAAAACTGACTTCTTCAGCAATCAATCTCGTATCTTCAGTTTTATACTCCAGAGGAGCCCTAGCCTCCTTGTAAATAAAGGGCTCTAAAGGAGCTCATGGAAATCAAATAGTGCAGCTGAAGCCAGATGATATTTCACTGGTGGCCTGTAGTTCACTAACTGTCATTCCTAATTTCCTGGAATTTTTTTAAAGAAACCTGCCTTGTGAAGGTAAGGTTGTTCATCAAGAATGTAAAATATTCCTATAGGATGTTTAGTTTGAGACACATGATTATACAACAAATGTAATTGTTCGGTTGGTGTTTTCTTTTATGGTAAGTGCTGTTGAACACCTCGTGTTCATTTTTTATGAGGTATATGAGAATTGTATTGGTGGTTCTATTTTTTAAAGATTCTTTTTAAAAAGAGAGACTATAAGAGTACTATATCATAGAGTTAATATTTTAGAATCAAAGACATCTTATTATTTCACCCATTCCCAGACATAAATAAATAAATTCATGTTAAAATGTAGTAATTTTTTCAGCTTCAGCCTGAGCAAAAAAGAAAGTGGAGGGTGTATGCATGGCTGGAGTCAGTAATCATAGATCAGCTCTCTTTTTATTTTCCAATTCTAAAGACTAGATGTCACTCTGGGCTCAAATTAGGAAGACAGAGATCATAGTGACGTAGGCTCGATCTTTATCTGTGACTTTCTGTGTCCTCACCATTTCTAAAGATTAGCTTCAGACCTCACTCTGATTCATTGTGCTCCCATTTTCTTACTTTTCCATTCACGTCCATTAAAATAAAAACCAAAATGTATATTGCAGCTTCAATTGCATATGCTTGAGGAGAGATTAGTTACAATTTTTTTTATTGTACCCTAATTTGGATTCTAAGATTATGGCTGTATGCCCAACCTCAACTGAAATGAAATGATACAAAGAACACACGTAACTGTCTATCCTTGGATACAGTTTATATATTTCATGATTCTAATTATATGTCATCTCTTTGAGTCCCTGCCTTATCCTATTTCGGTATTACCCAAATAAATAGACACAACTATCTGACAGCTATAGCGTTTGACTTACGGCTTGTAAACCAGCTTTATTATTTCATTTTCAGCTTTGTTGGATTGAAACCCTTTTTGGTCTATTTATATCATTCTTTTTGGAGCAAATTTTCCTCCTTTTTTGTATAATCATTTTAGAGCACATTCCAAACATTACGAAATCCAAATTTTAGGTATCAAAAGTCAATACTCCGATATTAGTATCTGCGTCTCATTATTTTGACTTTTCATATACATCTCACTACTTTGTAAAAAATATTTTTATTTGTAATTTTTTTGGGTATGTCATAGGTATATATATTTATGTGTTACATGAGATACTTTGATACAGGCATGCAATACATAATAACCACATCAGGTTAAATGGGGTATACGTCATTTCAAGCATTTATGCTTTGTGTTACAAACAATCCAGTTGTACTCATTGCGTTACTTTAAAATGTACAATTAAATTGTTTTTGACTGTAGTTACCTTGTTGTGTAGCAAATACTAAGTGTTTTCATTTTGTGGGTTTTTTTTTTTTATTTTTTGTACCCATTAGCCATTTCCATTTCCCCCATCCCCACTAGCCTTGCTAGCCTCTGGTAACCATCCTCCTAGTCTCTAGCTTCATGTGTTCAGTTA